CTTTCTTCTGATCCTTTTCCGCTTATCTTCATCCCCATGCATCGGGCTTCGTTGATGATTGACGACAGTGATCTTCCGTCACGGCTGGGCTCCTTTTCCTTGGGTTCTATCTGATTCACTTTTGCTACTCGGCCTGGACAGTCTCGTGCCACATGCCCATACTTAGAGCAAGCGTAGCATTTTCTACTTCCCGTAGAAGGTCTGCTATTAGACTGCTGTGGCCCACTTTTTGGAGACCCACTTGCCCCACTTGTCTCACGTACGCTCCCTCTGTAATGGGCTTCCTTATCATCGAATCTTGCCTCCCTGCTGCAATTATATTGCAAGGCTCTTGTCTTCCATGAAGGCAAAGAGTATTCTTTACGCTTCGCCAGGATCAGCTTAGACTGCTCTATACTGAGAGCCAGTCTCTTAACCTCCTCGTATGCCCTACTTGGCTCCACATTATGGAGAGCACCAACTAGTTGGAAATGCTCGGGCCAACTACTCAAATTATCTAGGAGGATCTGTGCTAACTCCAAAGACCGTTCTTCCAATGCGCCTTGAGGATTCGCCTGCCTACTCAGGTCTTCCAATACCACACAAAATTCGGCGACATCCTGATTAGGTCGCATTCTCAAGTGTTTCAGCTCCGTCAGGGCTCTCAGTCTAGATGCGGTTGAGTCACAGGCCAACAATTTTGTCATTTCCGCTACAACAGCGTCAAGACCCTGTTCTTTGACTCTACCTGGTAGGGACAGAAACACATTCTTAGCTCTCCCTGCTAAGTGATCGTCTGCCAGAATGTCAACTAAGGTGGCCTCACACGTGATCACTCCCTGATACTTTCTCTTGAATTTTCTCACGAACTGTGTGAAACTTTCATTCTTAGCCCCTCTAAAGATCCCTGGGTCAGCGCACGTCATTGCCCGCAGGTAATTAACTAACTGAAGGTTAACATCCGTACCTGGGCCTTCCTGCTTCGGCACCGCTTCCTCCGCTGACCGCCTCCTCCAGCTCTCCGCAAATGTCGGACCAGTCAAATAGGGGCTCTCCTGCAAAGGCCTGTTATCTTGCCTTGCATGATTATAACTGAGAGACTCTTGTGCTTTGGGTTCAAGCATACCTGCCACCTTCCTGTCCGCGTCTTGCCTCAGTAGGTCCGTGACGCAATCCATGATCTGCAAGGTGTTCACGTATAACATCTCGCTGAGATCCGACACCATCTTTCCATCCCTCTCCATTGTCGCAACATAATCCTTCCAGTCTTCCTCACTTTCTATTCCTCTCTCTGCTATAGTGGCAC